TCATAACAAAAATGTCTCTTAGATGGCAAGTGACGATATTTTTAACTGTCACTTCGGAAGATGTATGTCGAAACATACGAAACCATAAGGAGAGTTTAGCAGGCAAGAGTCACGTACAGCCGGTTGTATGGTTTTATTTGGTGATGTATATATACCTTAAGGTTCTTCATCATTGCAGTTTGTTATTGCTTTAATAGCAACAAGCTGCTTACGTCTTCATTTAGTGCAGCTATTCAGGACAAAAATTTAATGTCCACGTTTACTTGTCAGGTATTAAGATCCCACTAAGGCTTTTCGTAATGGCCAGACATCAAATTCTACAAAAACAGGAACTTATAACTATAAGATTTTTTCCTTTTTCCTTTATCACATGATCAACAGATGATCATTATTGAAAGCGACTCTTTAAATTCCTACATCATTGCTCTGTTAGCTTTTTCAAGTTTATTTTTTTTTAATTTTTTTCATTCTCCTACTTTCCCACTGAAGGTGATGCACAGAGTATTTTGTTACTTTTGAGGTATTTCCATCGTCGTCCTCGTGGCAGCTTTCCTCACTGCTCATTGCCTCCATGACAAGAATCTCCGCTGCTTTCCCCTTTTCATGCTGGTCAGCCCAGTTGACCAGCTCCAGGGCTGTAGTTCGTCTCATTAAGAAATAGCAAACAAACTGCAGTTACAAACATGAGAGTAAAACGCATGTTGGAAAATAAGATTAGTAAACTTTACTTGACGTTTCGTATGTTTCAACATACATCCTCAGAAGTGACAGTTAACAATACACGTGGCCACTAAGTTTAAATTTCAGCAGCGATAAGCTTTATCTGTTTTAGTTTGCATCTTTGTATATGCAAAATTTTTTCTTTTGTTCATTGTTACTTTAATTGGTTACTTATCTTAAACTTAAACTTAGCCGCCACGTGTATTATTAACTGTCACTTCTGAAGATGTCTGTCGAAACATACGAAACGTCAAGTAAAGTTTACTAATCTTATTTTCCAACAAGTTTTTTACTGTCATGTTTGTAACTGCAGTTTGTGTGCTATTTCTTATCCAGCGACGATGGCCAAAGAGAAAGAATTTTTCGTCTCATTAACTTCTAAAAAAAAAACCACTCTTCTTGGTCGCCTGGTACCTTAACTGATTCGTGTGGTAATAAATAAATAAATAAATAATAATGGACTTATATAGCACCATATCCGACTGCTCTATGGCGCTTTACAATACTGAGTTAAAAAGATAATGNCGCATTTTTTTGCAAGATCGGCATTTATTCACGCACAGTGTTGTATGTGGTTTCAGTTGCAAGTCTGGCGCTGATTGCCGTGGATAGATACATTGCAATTGCCTTTCCACTAAACGCCGTCAACATTACAGGAAGGATTCGAGTCATTTTCCTCCCTTCAAGTTGGGTGGTTCCTTTGATGGCCGTAATTCCCTTCTTTATTAGCAGTAAGATCGTAAAAACAGAACGGTACACTCTTTGCAGAAACGTCATGAAGAGCTCGACGCTGCAAATCTACTATTCTTTCAGTTTTTGCCTGGTATATTGTGTGCCGTTAGTTTTAATACTCGTTCTCTATCCTCTCATTGTTGGACGCCTGAAAAAGCAGGCGCAATTTAACACGAGTCATAACAGACAAAGAGTTCTCCAGTCAAAGGCTAAAAGACTTGAACAAAATCAAAACATAATGAAGATGTTTAAAACAGTGGTATTTGGTTTTTTTACATGTTGGACGCCACTCTATGTCTACATGTTTCTAAAATCTCTTTATCCGTCAATATTCGACAAAGATAAATGGCTCGTAATGGTGGGTTTATTCTATTATTTCTGCCCATTGCTTAGTACGGCGATAAATCCCTTTATTCTTGTTACGTTCAGTTCTCATTTTCGTGCAGCTGCGAGGAATTTATGCATGTTCGGTTTGTTTCGAAAACTCTCATTTCGTTTTCCTCCAACACGTGGTATTTCGCCCAAAAACATCGCACTTCCTGCTCTGAAATGATGTTATTCTGAGCCATTTGGCAAACTAAGGTCATCACATAAATGTAAATCAACAATTTTTTTGTAAAAGAGAATGTTCTCTTATTAAAATAAAAGAAATTGAATAAGAAAAATTAACAGAATGTGAATCTATCTCACAGTGTTAGCTGACGTAGGCGCGGATGTTAGTAGATGTTTTTAGTTCACCTGCTACGTTCTTTCAACCAGATGCAACTTAGGAACCCGGGGCTAAAGGACATCTAAAACAGTTGTTGTGGGCCAAGCATCTGTTGTGAAACGCTCAACGATTATCTAAAATGCTTTCATGACGTTTTGGAAACATGTGTTTATTAAAGGGGAGAAAAATAATCACCGGATTGTCTGTTCCTCCAGAAAAATTCACTTGGAATAATCTCTAAATTTCCCTTTTCAGAACTCCTCCTTACTCGATATGGTTTATTGACGTATGCACGGATGTTTAAAGTATACTCTTTTTTTTTAGTCTTGCGTAAAGGGCATACAATGTCACGTTCTTGTCTATTCAAAAGAAACATTCTGTTTGGATTTGATCTAATGGGTTTACTGAATGCACGTCCATCATAGCGCAAACAAAAAAATATTTTCATTCACATAAAACACCAAAGCAACCATCAGGCTGCCGCACGGGAGACTGTCAAATGAATTTATCGTATTTTTCTGATAGCCTCATTAGATCGTTGTAAAAAAAAAGACTTTCAAGCGTGGAAAAACGAAGCTTCTCAGAGCTAACAGAGTTTTAATGCGATTTTAATGCCACCTGCCTTCTGCAGCTTTTCATCTATTAATTTGTTTCTCGATACGCTTTCATTTCTGGGGTTAAAGTAAAAATTTAATAATAACAATAAAATAAAAGTCTTTATTCCATCATAAGATAAAACTACATATCTTATGTTACAATGAACTTGGAAAAACTACAGAAATCTACATACATATTATGAATTAAAAAGTATGTCATTACAATAAATGGAGCTTAAATATCAACCTATTTAAGAAGGTGTTCATAAAGGGCTGTGTATTAATTTTCCGGCGCGCGCAGCCTTTTTTACTAAGATTGTGTACATATGTCTTTTGGACAGGAATGATGTCTTTCAGAGGGTGGCAATCCGTTGATTTTAGTTTCTTCAAAATGTTTCGGTCTTGTTTGTTTAAAAGGTTCTTGATAAAAACTGGAAATGAGATCAAACCGCGTTTATGACATCGGTCTAAAAAATTTTGTACAACCGTAAGATCGGATGCCCCATAGACTCAGATGCCCCATAGACTGAAAGTGCATAGCTAAAATTTGCCAAAACAATGGATATAAAAAGATGATCAATCTCTGCCTGAGAGTAATGTTCCTTTCTCAATGTTCGTAGGATGTGTAAACACTTGTTTGCTTTGACAAGCTTAGTTCTTACATGCTCATCAAATTTTCCGTCACTCTGTAAAGTTACTCCTAGTAAAACGAAGCTATTACATTGGGGAATATTATTAATTGGAGAGTAGAGTACATTATGATTTTTCTTTCTAACAACCAGCTCTTTACATTTGCAAGGGTTGCAGACCATTCTATTGTCTTTACACCATGTTAAGAACTGTCCTACTAAGTCGGCAGACGGGTCACTATTCCTAGTGATAGGCGAAAGAATAGTGGAATCATCGGCATATTTAAAAAGCACAGGGCAACCATTAAAAAAAATCTCCAAATCGTTCAAAAATATATTAAAAAGATACGGTCCGCTTACACTACCTTGTGTGGTTCCTCTATTGACAGATTTCCACTGTCCTAAAAAATTATAACTAACAACACGTTGTTGTCTTGCATAGAGGAAACTATGATACCAATTGATAATGTACGGATTTAGAGGTAGCTGTTTCAGTTTGGCAGACAAAATAGCATGGTTCACAAAATCGAAAGCCTTACTGAAGTCCATGGTAAAAATTCGCACTGCGCTACAGTCACTACTATCTAAATACTTGTATGTCTGGTGCTGGATAGCGAGCAAGGCATTTGTGCAACTACCCGCCTGTCTATATGCAAATTGGGTGTGGCTCAGGTTGTTCTCAATGACTGACTGTGCTTGTGTACGATACACGACCTTCTCGAACAACCGGGCAATAACGGGAGTAACATTAATACCACGGTAGTCTGAGTCCTCTATAGGCATGTTCACTTTGGGGAGAGGATTAACATTTGCCCTTTTCCAGGAGTCTGGCCATGTATGAGTAGACAGCGACAGATTCCAAACGTGAGTGACGATTGGTGTGAGTAGCTCAGCACAGTCTTTCCAGATCCAGTACGGGAGGTCGTCTGGTCCCGTTGCCGTTTTCTTTACATGAACTAAGGTATTCCAGACACACCGCTCAGATATTTTCGGGGGCTTTACACTGTCCGGGATATCCATATCACTAGGTCTAACGTAAGTGTCATCATAGCACAGGTTGGCGAAGTAGTCGTTCAGACGAACTAGAGAGTTCTTGTCCAAATTTATCAACGATGACCTGCGACGCTGCGATAGGGCGTCCACGCCCTTCCACCACTCACCGCTACCAATGGCAGCCAGTTTTCTTCTGTTCTCGGTTATCAGCTCAGAAATGCGCTTATTAAATAAAGACAGACGTTCCTTGTTGTTTAAAGATATATGGGACTTAGTCCTCAGCATACACTTGACTAATGGGGACATCCAAACTGGGTCACGCGATGACATGCGTACAGATTTTTGCGGCATAAACTTATTCATCACTGCACGAATCTTTACCTCAAGCACCTCGACCGCCTTGTTTATGTCCACCTCATTGAGGACGTCACTCCAGTCCAGCGTAGTGAGTGCCATATAAAATGACTGTTTCCGATGTTCCCTACAGTCCCGCACAAGAACTTTGCGGCGCACAGGTTTAAGTTTTAATCCCGCCGGTAAAACAAAGCCTTCATGGTCTGTCTTAATAAGCATATGTATGGGATATGCTTGACCGAACAGATCCGCTCGGTTGGTCATACAGTTANTCTTTCTAACAACCAGCTCTTTACATTTGCAAGGGTTGCAGACCATTCTATTGTCTTTACACCATGTTAAGAACTGTCCTACTAAGTCGGCAGACGGGTCACTATTCCTAGTGATAGGCGAAAGAATAGTGGAATCATCGGCATATTTAAAAAGCACAGGGCAACCATTAAAAAAAATCTCCAAATCGTTCAAAAATATATTAAAAAGATACGGTCCGCTTACACTACCTTGTGTGGTTCCTCTATTGACAGATTTCCACTGTCCTAAAAAATTATAACTAACAACACGTTGTTGTCTTGCATAGAGGAAACTATGATACCAATTGATAATGTACGGATTTAGAGGTAGCTGTTTCAGTTTGGCAGACAAAATAGCATGGTTCACAAAATCGAAAGCCTTACTGAAGTCCATGGTAAAAATTCGCACTGCGCTACAGTCACTACTATCTAAATACTTGTATGTCTGGTGCTGGATAGCGAGCAAGGCATTTGTGCAACTACCCGCCTGTCTATATGCAAATTGGGTGTGGCTCAGGTTGTTCTCAATGACTGACTGTGCTTGTGTACGATACACGACCTTCTCGAACAACCGGGCAATAACGGGAGTAACATTAATACCACGGTAGTCTGAGTCCTCTATAGGCATGTTCACTTTGGGGAGAGGATTAACATTTGCCCTTTTCCAGGAGTCTGGCCATGTATGAGTAGACAGCGACAGATTCCAAACGTGAGTGACGATTGGTGTGAGTAGCTCAGCACAGTCTTTCCAGATCCAGTACGGGAGGTCGTCTGGTCCCGTTGCCGTTTTCTTTACATGAACTAAGGTATTCCAGACACACCGCTCAGATATTTTCGGGGGCTTTACACTGTCCGGGATATCCATATCACTAGGTCTAACGTAAGTGTCATCATAGCACAGGTTGGCGAAGTAGTCGTTCAGACGAACTAGAGAGTTCTTGTCCAAATTTATCAACGATGACCTGCGACGCTGCGATAGGGCGTCCACGCCCTTCCACCACTCACCGCTACCAATGGCAGCCAGTTTTCTTCTGTTCTCGGTTATCAGCTCAGAAATGCGCTTATTAAATAAAGACAGACGTTCCTTGTTGTTTAAAGATATATGGGACTTAGTCCTCAGCATACACTTGACTAATGGGGACATCCAAACTGGGTCACGCGATGACATGCGTACAGATTTTTGCGGCATAAACTTATTCATCACTGCACGAATCTTTACCTCAAGCACCTCGACCGCCTTGTTTATGTCCACCTCATTGAGGACGTCACTCCAGTCCAGCGTAGTGAGTGCCATATAAAATGACTGTTTCCGATGTTCCCTACAGTCCCGCACAAGAACTTTGCGGCGCACAGGTTTAAGTTTTAATCCCGCCGGTAAAACAAAGCCTTCATGGTCTGTCTTAATAGATAGAGATATGACAGTGTCTTTACTCAGAATATTTAACATTTACTCACCGAAGTGGAGATGAAAAGTGATATATACCAATAAATGGTCAACAATTAAACATTTGACGTGCGATTTCGTCTCTTCGGTTGCTAGGAGGTGAGTTGCACTTGCCAAGAGGACTTACTTGCTAATCACTTCCATACTAACAGATGAGTGGGCGTAAAAAGCACTATTCACCGCTGTGGTATTTTCTAAATGTCTAACCTATTCGCATTTGTAAAATGACCTTTTATGGGTATATCTTGTACCAGAGACACATTGAACACATTATGTTGCATAATCTTGGAAACTGGACACAAGCAGGAAATATTACACTTCTAGTTCGTACTGTATATATGTAAAAACACATTTGGTTGGATATCTTTATTACAAAAGATGCTAAACAATGTTACTTACATTTAGACTAACTCCTTCAAATTAATATACTTTACCACAACCACCACAAGCACATTTCTCTAACTCACTAAAAAACCAAACCATATTTTTTCGGACACCATCTGGGGAAAGAAATTCGTATTCAGTGTTTGAAATTAAAAATGTGTTAGAATCTAGTATGATAATTGTTATTCTCAACAAGTTAACTTTAATAACTTCCGTCGTCATCTTCATCAAAGTAGTCGACCTTTCTCGCTCGGTAAGCGTCTTTAAATTGTTCATCAAACAGCTCAAGATCTTCTTCGTCACGTAATACACCCTGGTGAATAAAAGTAGATAAATTGAATTAAACGGCGTTTTTAGACACTGTTGGGTCGCTTTGCATTCCTGTTCATATTTACAAGTATAAGCAAAGTATTAATTGTCTTTTTCCACGAGATAGAAATTTGCCTTTATTCAGAGAAAAACCTTAAAAAAGAGATGTACTAATCCGAGACCATCCGCATTTTTCTCCTACAATTAAAAAGTATATGTAACATTTACCTCTTACCGCGTTTGAAGATTCGAAAAAGTTATATAACCATTCAAAAATTATCTTCAAATGAGTTATGAATTTGAGTATGAACGCCCAAATCAGTTTAGTTTCAAAAACTAGTGCTGCTTTCTTTATCACTAAAAATGCCTTCTGTTTAGTTTCCAATTGTTCAGACAGATTTTTACGAGCTGTAAAAGGAAAGAGTGAGACCCTGAACCTCAGGTCAGAGATAAACGACTTACTAAGCACGATTCAAAATAGCGGCGTCCGCAGTCGGATCAATAACTCATTTGAAGGCAATTTCGTTGGAGCTCTCTTTGGGATCTTAAAACACGGTACTTTCTATTACCGGATACAATAAATAATTCTGTGTCTGAACCATACTTCTCGTTTCAAAAAACTGCTTGCACGGTAGAAAAGTACCGAAACGGAAAGGGCAAACCAAATACAATGTAGAGACGGGAAGGCTGAGGGGGAGAGAATGACGGATCGACTAATTCGAAATTTTTGGCAACGAAGCCACGACGTATGTTTTTCGAGCCTTTTCCTGAGTATTTCAGATTTGCAAGGAACTAAACGTAGACACTGAAAATCAACCACGTTCTAAGTTTTATCTGAAGAAACGAATTTTGCCACAAGTAGACAACCTATATCGAAAATAAATACTATCCCTAGTATACTGAGTACCATTTGGTTAAAATTGTGCTCCATAAAAATCATTAACAATTAAACTAGAACACAACAAGAGAACACACGTGGCCCACGTGAAGAAAATACCCACCTTTGGTAAGAAACCAAGAAGTTTAGAAGCGTGTTCTCGCAGCATCCTTTGTCTTTCTCTTTCAATGATTTGCCTTCTGTATTCCTCCATTCTTTCTTGTTCACGACGTGCCTCCAATTCTGCTTCCTGTTGAAAAGAAAACATAAGAATTTCCGTTAATGAAACAATCCTTAACAAAAAGAAAACAACAGCAAATGGCGAATAGAAGATACAAGTCGTCTGACCCTTTCTCTTTGGAACTGGACTCTCCTGTCTTCGATTAGTTTTTCTACCGCTTTCTTATGTTCCAGTTGCTTCATTCGCCTCTTCTGAGCGTTCATTTGTTCGATTCGGTCATCTTCAGCGAATTTCTCGAGCATCTAAAGGAGAAATATTTTTTGTGTCAGCAAACAATGGTGGAATACCAGTACGTGCGATTCCTCACAGGAAATCGGTCCACTCAGTGAAGTAAAACGCACTAAGGCGCCAACAACGCGTCGTTTTTAAAGATCACCTTTCTTCTGAACTCTTCTTCCTCCTCTCTCTCAGCTTGTAACTTCATCTCCTTGAACTCAAGTTGCTGTCTGCGCGTGCTCTGCAAGTCCAACCGCTGGCGGAGCCTGTTTTCAATCGCCATCTAGACATAAATAGAAGCCAACAATGAGAATCTCAATAAATGCGCCTTCGTGGTCTGATGTCTGAGGGAAAGTTAAGAACAACTCATTTTTTGTTTGTTCTTTTCGTGTTTTTCTTTCAATTGACGTACTGAAAAGTCCCTCTGTAGATTGACCGGTAATGACAAAGTAATTTGGTTCTGATTTTTTCTTATCTAGTCACATGAATTTTCACGACGATAACTTTTTTTTTATTTTATCATTTCCAAAACAGACATCTTGAATTTTCTTTCGATGCAGTTAAGGGCATGGGGAAGTTTAGTTACTGAGGATTAAGGAGACACAATGAATCAAAACAAAATCATCAAGAGTAAGCATTTAAGCTGTTACCTTTTCCTTCTGTCTCTCCATTTCTTCTTGTTCCTCAAGATACAGCTCTGTTCGAATTCTGTACGGAAAAAGGTAAAAAAAGATATCGACGCATTATAATTAACAGTTCCTGTGAAACTAAACGTTCAGTTACACAACGTTTTATCCCTTTTTCCTTTTAATGTGTTCGTTCGTTAATACGTCTATTGGATTCTTTTTCTGTACCTTTCCATTTCTTCCCTGGCCTCAGTTTCTTCTTGAATTTGTTTTGAAAGCTGAAAGGAAAAGACGCCAATTAGAACCAAACTTTAAAACAGTTTTTTCGTTCCTCTGCACGTAAAATTCACTTGACGCAACAGAGAGCTACAAACCATTCCCTTTAGACAACAGAGAGAGCGAAAACCACCATTTGGGTTTAGTTCGGGCTTCTCGTTCCATGTTTAAATTGTGCATCATTAATCAAGTCAGAAAACAGAATTAAACAACATTAACGCTTTAAACCAGCCCGCTTCTCTCTTATAAGCCAGGCCTCCACCCGACTTTCCCAAAACCAAATCCTCAGCACAAAAGATAAGGCATACATTTGAGCTGGGTGGCGTTGCTGGTCTAAATATTCTAGCAGTTTAAACCTGTCGTAGTTTCCGTAGATAAAACACTTTTTACCATAGAAATGTATACCGAACACTGCGAGAGGTCAGAGTAAAAAAAAAAACAAACCAATAACAACTCAAACTCCGGCCCTTGACGAGTTCTTATTAAGTCTTCATCTCTTTTAAGGGTCCCTCTCCAGTATATCCACCTCCCCTGGGAATTATTAAGCCCCTAGGGGGATCATTAGCTCGCAAACGGTAATACTAGTCAAAGTGTGATGATAACTACCTTCTCTTGCACGGCTGCCATACTCTCCTCTTGTTGTTTTTTCTTCTCCATTCTCTCTTCCTCGCGATGTTGCTGCAATTTTGCAAACTCCAAAATACGTTCATTCTCCTCCTCCATCAAGCGACGCTCGTGCGCTTTCCACTCAGATCGCTTCGTCTTGAACTCTTGAATGTACCGCTGAGTAGCCAATTGTTTCTGCAGTCTATTTTCAAGCTCCCTAGTGGCATGAACAATGTAGAATTCTTAGTATACACTCTTGACTAATACATCGAGCTATACGTATGATGCACGATCCTCTCAGTAGAGAGCGCTATTTATGCAATAGCGAAATCAGACCTGAAAAAAGTCAGGCCTGTACGGGATTCGAACCACTGACCTCTGCGATACTAGTGCAGCGCTCTACCAATTGAGCTAACAAGCC